TATAATATATGACACTATGAATCATCTCTCCATCTATTCTGTTTGTGGGGAGCCTAAGTGCAGCTCTCTTAGCTCCCATTGGATGCTTCTATAGGTCCAATTTCAGATTTGCTATGATGTTTTTTCCACTCACACAAATTTAAAGTATATTTTTAGGCATCAAAAAGACATTAGTTGACCTGGTGTGTTTCTAGGTGGTATTTGATACTTTGCAGTAACATCACACTGGGGGTTTTCTATAATGCATTTATATTGGAGGAATGTTCAGCTGTTCCAATGGTGACACAATACACACATTAGCAAAGACAGACAAAAAAGTCTTAAGATTGTCTGAAAACTCAAGCAAAAATACAAAATTAATTGAAACCACATTTTCAGAAGTACAAGCATTCATGATCCTGTTTAGGATCAAAAAGGTGATTAACTGAAAAACTGTAGGCTAATGTTATAGTTCCAACCAAGTCATCTCTTTCTGGTCAGACTGTGTTAAAATAAATCTTAGATTATAGTCTAACTTGAGTAACAGAGCCTCGAACAGACTAGTGCTTTCAGTTAGCTTCACACCCCCAGGGAATGTTGATGACATCCGCTGCAATGTATCACTATCGACATAGACGTATAAATAAAGTAGGTATTAAGATAAACCCACCCGTTTCTGACAGAAAATTAAATAAAGAGGTATTTATATAATGGCTAACATGACAACTGGATGATACTATTGTATTTGTTGATAGCGTGTGGTGAGCTGGCCCACACCAATACAATTTCCTTCAACACTGTCTTATTCATCCACCTTTTTTGTGAAATGCTCTTGACAGCGGGACCAACAGTGCAACGCTGTTTATGATTAATATCCCACTCAAATGCTGTCACATCAACAACTGGCAGCAGAAGCTTGGCCGGAATTTCAAATAAATCCTTTAGGTTATAATTGGAAACACATTTTATCATTTGTTCCTCTGGGGTAGTGGAGGGGGTATTAAAGCTAGATGTTGTGGTACTGGTCAGGAAATCAATACACAAAAAAACTGTGTTGTTTTAGCCTGTCTAAAGTCTGAAGCTCTTCTCAGTGAATCTTTGGAGACATAATGATATAGAAAGGGCCCGTTTTCTATCAATCCAGCTACAGCTACAGCTACATTTTTTTTCATATTATTATAGACTTATTATAGTCTACAGAATAATTATATCATTTAATGACCCAAGTGGTTTAGGTATTAAGAGCCAGTTGGGAGCAAATGTGTGTGTTAATGCGGATTTTGAAGATTCGCATAAGTAATGGGAGGTGGAAACACACAAATATTGCATTTGCATTTGGATTTAATTTGCATAAAAGTGTATTCACTCGCTACAGGTGAATTTTGATTTATGCACATAACAGTTACAGATGCATTGTGTAACTTTTGTGGTGGAGGGAGATGTTATTGCTTTGTCTGAAATGTTTCACAGTATGGTATTAAACATTTCAATCTTCAAGGAGACAAGACCAGACCAACTTACAGGTCAGGTCTGTGGAGACGCAACCCCACTCAGTCAGAATGCCTTTTTTTAAATTTTATTTTGTATTTCTGAGTTATAGAAACACCTGTAATAAAAATGTAAAGTAGAGCTGTTTAATGTCATATTGTGGAACATTCCAGGCAGAGCAAAGAAATATATATAGAAACTAAAAAGTTACATAGTGCACTTTTAAAGTGGCTAGAAACACTCAGCGACAAGTATGCACCAAACTGAGCTACAAGGTGAGCCCATTCATGAGCTGTATATGAAAGGCAATTAGCTCTATTAATTGTGCAAGAATGACTAGAGACAATCATATCCAACATTACAAAAAATATAGGTCAAAAAAGCTACATTACAGGACTGTATTATACCAAATTACATGTTCAAACAGCTTTTCCAACACCACATAGATATGCTACACATTTTTGCTGTGAAAATCTTGTTATGCATAGCTGTTCAAAACAACAAAATCTCTTGGGTTTCAATCCAAGAAAATAATCTTCCATAACAGCAGGGAATGAGACAACAGTAACTATTTATCATTCTAACCCAGCCTCCCACTCAAGCTTTAATATGAATGCAAGTTTAGTGTGTTTTTCTTCTGTGAAAGCTCTGGGGAGATGCAGTCAAAATTCCATACCTCAGAGCAGCCACCACTCTCCCCACAGCGTCATGGAGTACTGTTTTGACTGACAGGTCCAAAGGTCCCACTGCCACCCTCAGGACCTCTTCAATCTGCTCCAGAGGGTGCCCATCTGTCGCCATGGTGACCGCCAGCTCGTGAACTTTGGGCCTCTCGGATCGGGACAGATCGTAAAGTCGGCTGTACCCCTGCAGCTGCTCCTGGAATAAAGACAAAAACAAAGAAAGATGGAGTGTGGAGGGCTGACACGCTGGACCTGCCGGGCCAACGAGACACAGAGAGGATTTTAGCAAGTCATAACAAATAAAAAGTCAGTTTGAGAGGGAAGGAAGCAGGAAATGAAGAAAAGTGAGGAGACAAGACCACTGTGAGAAGTTTACTAAGTGGAGTTTGTGTTGGAGAGTGATGTTCTCTATAGGTATTAACCCAGAGGGCAGAGGCAGTCTGTACAGTCTAAACTCTCTGTACCAATTGGCTCTGTTTTCATTCTTAATGAAAAAGAGATACAACCTGGAAACAAACTGTGCTTCAGCTTGGTAGAATGTCTTTTCACTTTAAGTACCGCATGTCACAACAGTCCATCTATAACTTTAAAGTACAGTACATCGCAAGTTACAGATAAAGTAGTTAATAACACAAGGAAGGACTGTTCACAGGGGAAAAAATCAATCAAGCTACAAGTCCGTACAGTCTCCTCTAAATCTTTTCCTGAAATTGGTTTCAACCCTTGCACAAGCTTCAACTTTTTGTAACACATCACCGGTTCCACCATTTACATTCATTTATGTACACATAGTGAGGCTAATATATGAGTTGGGTGGGCAATATGGAAAAAAAATATCACAATCTTCTTGAAGCCACAATCCATACACTTGATACTTTTCTATTGCTTTTAAGAGGTAAATAAAGTAATCTGCTACTTCTGAAAGTTGAAACTTCACTGTGACCAATTGGACAGTGGCATACTGAATCACAATATCAGACCATCACACCATTACCATATTACCCAGCCCAGTTTTGAGATGTGTTTTCATGGGGAAAACTTTTTTGAAAAAACACTTGTTCCCTCTGATGTGGATAGATTTGTTGTATATGTCTTAGTCCAGAGGCAATATAACTATTCAATAAGACTAAGGCCGGCTGTAAGCAACACACATCTGCAATAAGCTTCTAAGAAAATCTGTGACTGCTTTGAAGGGACTGCTATTTATATCTGACCAAGACCATAAAAACACAGTAGGTAGAAAGTTCTAGTTTGTAAATGCTATTATATGAGAGCTTTAACCATAAATTAATTTCAGCTTCTTGACTCTAGTGTGCAATTGGTAATTTACCGTCCTCATGGCAGGTCAAGGCCCTTGTGGTGGATTCATGCACAATCCACACAGTAATTCCCAGCAGCTGCACATGTACAGGCAAACTCAGCCTACAGCATTCCTTCTATCTATCTTTCTCTACCTACCTACTCTTTCCTTGTTCTTATGTTTTGTTTTTTTGTTGTTGTTGTTGTTTTTTTAGATTCAAGGATATCGCTGTGTCCTGCATGCTTGAAGTTGAACCTGGCCTGCAGTATGTATAGATCATTAGGATTATTGTATACTGCTAGCACTGGGTCTCAAACTGTGGTACTGTTACTTTTGATAGTACAGTCATCTTGCTTAATTTAAAGGGCCCATAATAAGCTATTTTCTTGGGACAAAAGCATAGCTGGAGTTGTGTTTTGTTTAATTCATACAAACCCTGCATATTTAGGCTGAATTATTCTCTTAAACAGAAAAACACTGATCCGCTTTGTGATGTCATGTGGTAATACAAGAAGTGCTCTACTATGTTTTTAAACTGCATACACCTTCACTAGAATCATTTGAATAATTTCAGCCCTGGAATTGCCAAGCTCTACTAAACTAAAACTACGGCTTCATGACATCACAAGGTGAAACAGAGCATTTTGAGCTTTGGGAATGTAGACAGACCAATAAAGCAGGGTTATTCAAAAGAGTGAATAAAACAAATCGCAACAGGTATGTTTTTGAGGAGGTAAGAACATTCTAACATGGCTAAAAGCTCACACAAGCCAATTTTGCATAATATAGGACCTTTACAGTGATTCCTGTGTCAGAATTGCTCTAATTGGGGCTTCAGAGCACTGCTGTGGTCTACATTATCCTGGATTTAGTCATGGATATTCAAGTGCTTTAGTCTTGGTTTAGTCATCCTTTTGTTCTAATTCTAGCACAGTCTAATCATTTACCTGCTGTTTCATTCTTCTTTTAAATTACTGGTTCCTTGCATACTTGTTTTCATTAAAATGTACACTCACCTTTTTGTGTTATGGGGTTTAAAATAAAATTGCCTTACTCAGTACAGGGTGGGAGTGACTAACTCTTAATGGGGGCACTGTGGTTGCCGTAGTAACCACCACTTGCTGAATCATAATATCCGCTCTGTGTTGGTTCGCATTAGGCCAGAGGGAGGTGACAGTGTGGAAAGTCAGTGTGACTTTGCTTAATGAGATACAGCGTGGAGCACACACGATATGTGCAGTTGTATAAAGCCATATACAGGAGCAAAGATTTATATTAACATGTCCTTGGCTGGTCCCACTGAGACCAAGAGGAGTTTGGTCAAGCAGAACCATCCCAATATTAAGCAAGCAAAAAGGTCTACAGAGCTCGGTTCAGGATAGTACCTGTAGAAATTCATGTAAAAATGAAAACGTAAAAAAATAAATAAATAAAATAAAAATAAAAAAAACTGTAAACTGACTGAACAAATAAAATGCTGTTTTAAAAAAAAGAAAACAAGATGTAAAAGATGCAAAAACTGGATAAGATTTCTCTTTTGCAGGGCTACAAGATGAACTGAATCAAAATCACAATATGAATGGACGCAATTAGTAAATCGCAAAAGGCTGTAATTTCTGAAGTGCCACAATTTCCTCCACAAACAACTAAATATCCTGTCACATTCTGCATAAAAACTGCTCATCCTGTAGCTACGATCTGTACCAACATGTTCTGAAATATAATTCTTGTATTAGTTTGTTCATTCACATTTCAGTCTTTTTGACAATTCTTCTGAACGTGTTTAAAAATTGAACTTTGAACAGAATTCTTTTATTAATACATAAATAGTAAATCTAAGCTCCATTGCAAAACTTGTCAGAAAGATTTGCAGTTAGATATTTTTTCCCAGATCTTTAAGCCCCTTTTTTGGTTTCAAAGCCAAATATGAATGCTAAATGAGCTGCTTGCTTTGGTTTGTCTATTCCAAAACTAAAACTAACTTTGTCAATATATGAAAGCAAATGGAAAAAAGCTTAAAGGTGCACTATTTTGGTTGGGGGTCAATCAGCTGCTTGTTTCTATAGATATGTCATTGTTCTACCTGGAATGTTCCACAGTATGATATTAAACAATTCTACCTTACATTTACTCAATTACAGGTGGTTTTACTGCTCAGAAATACCTACAAAACAGGCATTCTGACTGTGAGCGCGATTGCCTTTCCACAGATCTGACCTGTAACTTGGTCTGATTTGGTCTCCATTAAGATACATATGGAGAAAAGCATATGATGAACCCTCTACCGGCAAAGTTACACAATGCACCTTTAAGTTGTAAGGGTAATATTTAGACTTACTCTAGACTTTTTTGTCTCCAGGGGAAAATAATTTTTCACACACACACACACACACACACACACACACATACCATATGTGTTTATTCTTAAGCAGTCTACGCAACAAATAAACCCTGATGGAAAACGTGCACCAACCCATGTTGAAGAAATGCACAGTTAATGGTAAAAGTTAGAGTTGTTGTGAGGAGCAGATGGGCCATACCTGTTGACTGTCCCTCAGAGCCACGATGCAGGGCTGGCTCAGAGTGTCCAGGTGGGACTGGGACTGCTGCAGGTGAGAAAGAGCCTCATCAAAACTCATCCCTGCTGGGTCCTTCTCCTCCTGCTCTCCGCCTCCTCTCTTCCGACTCTTCTCTGCCAGCTGCCGCAACACTTTGGAGGCCCGCTTTATGACCTCTGACCTCGCCGAGATGCTCAGCTGAGGGGGGACAGAATAAGTAATGGAAAGTGGGGTCAGCCTGGGTAAAGGAGCATTGTATTTGAAACATTTATGTATCTGTTTTTGTCCTTCTCTCTCTTGTTCCCGGTAGAAAAACAGCAATTATCAGAGTACGGTGAGGTACAATCTTGGCACTCAGACAGTCATGAATTATCAAATGAAAGTGGCTATACCTCATGGTGTTGAGCAATAATTGTTTTGCCCCGGTACAGAGATATTATAAAAGATTGTAGGGTAGAAATAAAATTGCTGCAAACTGTTTAAAACAAGCTACATCTGTTTTTCACGTTTTTATGATTACACAAATCAGGTACAACACCTCACTTTAGGCACTCAACCATTTAACAGTGACATTAAAGGGCCCATATTTCTCTTTTTTTAATCTATGTTATAATGTTGTTTCCTCGTCACAAACATACCTGGATTAGTGTTTTGTTTCATTCTCACATGTTTAACACACAAACCCTGCATACTTCTATTCTTAGTTCTTCTCTCAAACGGAAAACACTTTGTGTCACCTTGTAATGTCATGTGGTAATAAAAAAAGTGCTCCACTGTGTTTTTAAACTCCACACATTCACTAGAATCATATGAATAATAAATTTCAGCCCTGGAAATGCCAATCTCTACTGAACAAAAGATAAAAAATAGCTAATAACTTGCTTCTAAGCCATTAAGTTAACACAGGGTGGAAAAGAGCATTTTGAGCTTCGAAGATGTAGACAGACTAAAAAAAAAAGGTTACTCAGAAATGTGTGAATGAAACAAAACATCTCCATGTTTTTGAGGGGTTAACAGCATTATAATGGTATAAAGCTCATTTAATCCATTTTGTGCAATATAGGACCTGGAAATTAGTATGTTCAATACTGCCTGCTTTTTTAGATGGAAAGAAAAAGACATTCTATACCTATTTCACTCAGAAAGAACCAGATAACTTCTTGGCTTAGAGCACTGAAGGAATATCCCAAATTAACCACCACTACCACTATGCCCCTCTTTGAAAAGACATTTGAACCAATGTACACTTTGATTCTATGCTAGAGTGAATGGGAGGATCATAGCTGCCTGCTCTGTAAGTGAATCTATTCAGAGGCAGCAGGTTGGCCATTTATTCGATGGTGCCTTGAGCCTTAAACATTGTCACACTCAAAGAAGACACCAATGATTTCTACAAAACCAATCATTTCTTAAACCCCCACAGTGACGAACATACCTACATGCAGCACCTGCACTGGTCAGATACCTTAAGAAGGATTGTCAGTAGTTCTTTCACAAGAAAAAGAGATCACTAAAATAGCAAATAGCCTGTCAAACCACTGCAATTTGTCTTACAGGCTGCAGTGCGGGTCCCTCATGTATGTCTAAGTCCATTGTCTGAAGTTCAAGGCACGCATACAAGTCCTATGTCATTAGGTTCCCTCTGTATTGCAGCAGACAACAGTATCTCAGCCCACATCGGTCAAAGTCAAAGGTTACTGGGGGTGAGAGTTTATAAAAGAGAGGAAGCTTCCACTAAAGAGTCTATCTAAAATCAATAGATCAGAGGGAAAGAAATGCCAGCACCCTGTTTCCCCAACAACCAGGCAAAATAACTCCTGGCTATCTCGCTAAAGCACTATACCCTCGTGGGATTGGGATCAATCCATCTCACTCCAGTGTTAAAGGTCACATACTCCACTAACAGCTGCAAAGGATTAGGGATTAGGAAAAAGTGACCAGACATTTCCGTGGTAATTTGCATGTTATAAAGCCCAGTACGGACACGCCGCCTGCTGGGAATTAGAGTTTAATTGGCACTGAAGAAGAAAAGGATCAATTAGCTCTCAGAAAGTTATTGGATAAAATGGCTGTAAAAAGGTCTAGGAAAAAGGGTGGCAGCACGCCAGTGAAAAAAAAAAATCCACAGTTGGAAACTATTGATAAGGGGCACACTGAGGCACTTAAAGTCCGCGGCAGGACTATTTTTCAGAGTGATGTAATTATAGGGCTGACATTTCGTGTGCAATTTTATAATTTCTTTTATAAATCATGACTGGTCTGTGCTTTGGGGCAGAACGAGTTTGAAACTGAATAATATATTTAAAATTAGGAAGAAAGCTTATAACTTTCCCAAAAAAGTAGCTAGAGGCATTAGACACGGCTGGTCAGAGGATGTAGAGATTCAACCTGATGCAGTGATAAACTGGACTTTCACACAATATGAATTTTTGGTGGTAGCCTGAAGCTAACCACCTTCTGTGCTGAACTCACTGCAAGTCAAGTTTAAGCTAGTTCATGTTCTGTGCAGTAATAGAAAATATAATTCACTTCATGTGGAAGTTGCAGTCAAGGCCAGGAAAAAATTGTGATACTGATATTCTTTTGTTATATTTTGGCCCAGAATGCTAACCGAAAACTAAAACTACATAAAATAGGTTTTTACATGGAAATGAGTAAGGAATAGCATATAAAATCCACTTTCCCTTGAGTTTTAATTTTCACACTATAAAAGTAAAAATATACTTTTTCTAAATACTTACATGTTCGACTGCATCAGGGGAGAAAGTAATGTTGTCCAAAAAGTTCACAGCGTCACTGGGGACCAGCCTGTCGAGGTATTTGGCGCAAGTGTCGTAAGCGTGGAGGTAGTCCTGGTCGTTCTGGGGGGCTCTCTTCAGCAGCTGGGGGTCCCCTCTCCAGAACAGCTTCTTTAGCCAGACAGAGTGGACCGCACTGGGAGAGACGGTGAGCCCCTCTCCCCCGGGCATGGGCAAGCGCGTGGCCAGTTTGGAGATGGACAGGACATTCTGACTGGTGAGCACTGGTTCCAGGGTGAGGAGTGGGTTTAACGTTTCATCTGTCAGTTTGCGATAGTCCAGACCTGAGAAAAGAAGGTACAGCACATTAAGAAGATTTGAATGGCGAGGCCAATTGGTTAATTTTAAGTGCTCATAATACTAAAGGGATATGCAAATGTCTATGTTGGCCACGTGACAAATTGGCAGTCTTATAAGTGGCTTTATTACACTTAAACAGTATTAGTTTTTATAGTCTGAAATTGGCAATACACCAGCTCCTTCTATGTAGACTGGGACACAATCTTGATACTCATTGAGAGGATATGACTATTTTATTGGATAAACTTTCTTAAACAAGACCCAAAATACCACATTCACAAACACAAATTTTACCAGTTACGGTACTTACTTTTCTATATTATATTTGAAGTTTTTGTATCTATTTATGGCTTTAACTGTCAAATGCACAGTAATTAAATGTTGTTTTTATGCACAATTATTCTGTGTTGCAATCCAGGCTCTGAGTTTGTCCAGTTCAGCTAGTTACTTATACACATATGTCTTTTATAATTGTAATTATTTCATCGCTAGGACAATCATGATAATTTACTATATCAAATGATTGTTCAATATATAAGAAAGCTAGAGCAGCCTACTGGGAACATTTTATTATTATTTTGCATCACAATAAGATTTGAATTGTTCAGGGTTGACTAAGAAAATTACTGGACTGCATATATACTGAACAAGTACTTGTGTTTCATTCTGCCATTAGCTTACTGCAGTCTACATTTTTTAACAATATTATAGGTTTGAGAGTTTAAAGGGTAATCCTGCTTTAGTGTTGGTGTGTAAGTGGTATAGAGTGGTTTCATTATTATTATTATTATTTATTATACCATGTCAATGTTTATGTAGCAATATATCACACTTCAAAATGTTTCAGGCCTAATCATCTCCCCAAGAGAATATAAAGGGTTTGGTTGAGTCTTCTTCCATGTGATGAATAGTTTCCTAGATGCTGTAATGTCCGTGCTCATCCCATTTTGCACTTTCTCACTCAGACACCAGGAAAGCACGCACTCTGTCTGGAGCTTAAATATTTAACACGGTGCAGCCTTTGGGGGGGCTCTGGGGTTGCCACATCTGGGAATGCCCCACACAGACACATTCATTACACTGTGATCAGATTGAAAGGGGGATGGGCTTTTTCAGACACACTTATTGACTAACACTCTCAAACCACACACTTACAGGTCCCATTTTCACAGCCACACCCACCTATGTCTGCCTCCACACACCACTAAGCCTACAAGAGAAGGCACTCAGACTATGTGAATAATGATACTAAAGACACTACACCATCTGACCATCTGTTTCAATATGCACAAATATGGTTAGGCTATATTACCAAATACGCAAAATTCATAGTGTGATATTAAAAACAAAAACAAAAAAAAAGAAAGAAAAGACAAGACAAGACAAAGCTTATGTAACTCTTTGTTTGGGTTTAATTAAGCCACAAAAGGAAGAGGGAGATTTTATTGACTAATATGCTTAGTGGGTAGGGAATGGACAAGACAATTTCCACAAGATGAGACAAGATGCAAGATTGGGTCCACAAGAAAGAGACAATAGATTAGTTTTTTAAAATTATTCCTAATACACAAATTTCAAATTCAGTTTCCAATTTTGGCCTCAAAATTTTGAATTTATTTGATTTCATATTTTTGTTTTAATTCTTTGGAACTGTGAGACCAATACGTAATCCTTTTTGTTCAATCCAAATGTAAACACTCTCACAAAACAATTTTTCTCATGTGTGCACAATCTTGTGGCAAATTTGTCTGACAAGACAAAATGTGGCATGAGATTTTGTCCCATCCCTATTAGTGGGAAAATATGTAAGCATCAAATGGTGAAGAGTGGGGAGTGACATTGAGCAAATTAGAGCCAGAAATTGAAGAAGTTATCATAAGTGCAGGTGGAAGCTTTGTACTGGTCCTGGATAAACGGAGAGGGTGTGGCCAAAAAACAACAAGAGCCAAGAGTTTGCAAATACAGCTCAAAATTGTAATGTACAGAACCAGACGCCATTTTGGACCAACCTTACGACACAGGCAATCCTTCACTTCCCATCCAAATTCAGTTTAAAAAAGTGATAAATGGAATAGTAACATTTAGGATGAAGTTGTATGGTGAGGTCAGCCTGTCACAATAACAAGTTCTGAAGTGCGATATATTGCTGAGGACAGTATTATATAAATTTGCCACTGACACAATAACCCTAGAAGTAGAATTGTCCCAAAAAAACATCTGTAAATGAACACTAATATATGATTAAAACGTAAACTGCAATAAGTAAATAAGTAAATAAATGAATAGCTGAGACACTAGTAGTTAGTGTGTATCTCAGATCTAATTGTAAAGCAGAAAAACAAAAAGTTCCAGTCAAGTACAAAAAAAGTCCTCATGATAAATGTTGACCCCCAAAAAGTATTGTTCCATCAAACATACATTGAACGATAACTAGATATAGGAATTATCGTGACAGGCCTATATTGGGGGTAAAATTCCACCAGCATGAGTGCAACAGACTAGCCTGATTCATCAGCCAGGTTCACTTCGTGCAAACCACCTGACCTCGCAGCATTAGGATTCATTCACTCAATGGTAGGCGGGTACTTTTTTATTTAACCAATCACTGCTATTTGGTTGTGATGTATGTAATGTGCCGCTAATGGGGTAACTGGTATATTAAGCTTTTCCCAAATCCATTGGAAGAAGGGCAATAACAGCTTTCCCCTTGATAAAATTCACCAAACATTCTCTTTGTTCCGGCTTTAAATCCTCGATCTCGGGAATCGTTGCCAACACAGAATGTATGGTGCCTGGACTCGCACTTCTGAGGTTCTTGCAAACCGTGTAGTGTATTCCGATTCCTGACCTAGTAGCTGAAGGGAAATTAAATTGAGTGGTGGGACTAGGTGGCGCCAGCCTGGCTAGCTACAGACACAAGAACAAGAGACCACAGAGGATAAAACTAATTAAAATGCTAAAAGGACCTATTGCCACTTTTAAAATGTTTTATCTAGACTTTATACCATTTAAGTCATTAAGACATTACCAGAACTTTCTGAGTTTATACCAGAATTTCACAATTTTCACAGATGGAAGAAAACTGGCAGCAAGTGCAAACTGGATATGTCTTAGTTTTTTTCTTTTTATAAACTCGTTGGGGTTACGGTCTAAAGCAGAAGGGAAAAGCGAAATTGAAGAATTTTTCTTGTTTCACAGCCTCAGAATTTGCTGATAGAACCATAACACTGCCAAAAAGATGTGGAACTTCTGCAAGGCAAAAACGGTGAAGACAAAAAAATCCCTTGATGCGTTGTGATGTTGTAAAAGTGAGAAGTTTCCAGCACTCATTTGCATTACATTTAATTGGCTGAACTTACTAGCTGCTCCGTTTTTAAGTTAGTTTAAAGTGTGCCATGTGTCTTCTGTAGAGGCTGTGCTGTGATTGGGGAGCAGAAGGAGCAAGTGAGCCGTGAAAACACTGTTGACACTCGCTGACCTTTATCACCGAGATCTGACACTTTCTCAGAAATCGCAACAAAAAACTTTAGCTTCTCGACCACTGGAGCAAGAACCAGTGACACGCCGCAACCTGGACATCCAAAACTAAAGGAGGGAGCATCTGGCTGACAAAAATGTACAAGAAAAGCGCAAGTGTTGTTTAAGAAATTTGGGGCGCCAGCAAAGTTCACACCTTGTATTTTAGGTAAGGCTATGAAAAAGGCTTTTTTGTATGTAAATTTGTTTCATTATCACATTTGCAAACTCCAAAGACTTCAGATTTTATCATCAGACTATAATTTTATTTCAGAGTTTAGAAAAGCTATTACTACAGGCTGCTCAGAGGGAGAGGTCTGAGTCATAATAAATATATGACAGCATAAAATAATATGCAGATGAAAAAATTTGAGCAAAGTCTCTCTACTTATCATATTGCATTGATGTAGTAGGGAATTAGTTCTATGTCTTTCCTGTGTAATTTTGAAGCAGCAATATAAAGTTCATATATGTATAAAAGTGAAAGAATATGGAAGTCATACTAAGCTCAAAATTAATGTTAGGCACTGATGAGTGACAGCAGTTAGGTCACAATTTGCATATAAGGCTATAGCCTCAGGGTTGTGTGTTGAAGCCCCCGGTGTGGTGTGGATATGATGCCTTTGTCCTTAAAGTGAGTAAGTGTTATACAGAAATGACAAATATACATTGTACCACAAAATGATTCATATTTCTCTATGTTTTATATCTATATCGCAGACATTTTCTAGTCAAAATAAACTATTTTTGTTACTATAGATGTTGTTGCTATAGATGTTCTTAAGATTTGTAATGCAACTAAAATAGACCTATGTTTAATAATCATGAGTCATAAGCTAAAATGTTCTTTAGTTGTCCATTTGTGAAACTTGTTTTTTTTTTTTTTTACCACAAAATAGCACTTCTTGAACAGGAATGCATAATTTGGCTTACCTATAAAAATACGCAAGGGGTAGCAAAACTCGATGGGGGAGCATAGCATGACACAACACCGGCTCTGACAATTGGCAGAATGTTACCCCAACTCTTGAACCCCTTTCATGCTGTACTGTACTGAAAAATAACCTACTTGCCAAAAAGACACATTTTAGTAAAGACATTTGAATGAAAATGTCAATGATCAAATTCCTCCCACGCAGAAACATATCTGCTATTTCTTTTTTGATCTATGCCCCCCCACTCTCACTGCCTCTAACCCACCAGGAGACATTCAGATCTAGTTATTAAAGAAGACAACATTTTCCTCACCGCTGGCTACGGCTCGCAGCTTCTTGAGCAGTTTGACGTGGGTGTCGGGTTTGATCGCCGTGGAGACATAGGGGTGGCAGCCTGCAGCGTCCAGCAGGGTGTAGTAGTACAGCAGGCGGGCCATATCGGACGACTCCACACTGGGCAGCACGTACTTGTTCATGTGGCTGTGAAACGCCTCAGGGTCACTCTTCAGTGTCTCAAACAGGCCCAAGGAGTCACTGCGAGACTCAATGTCCTTCGTGGAGAGCCTGAGGGGACAAGAAGTTTGATTATAAGCCTAGGTACTTCTTAAAGATTAGTATGTGGTTGCTCAACTACTTTTCACCTGAGGCTGGGTGATAAGGCAAAAAAAAGTTAAAAAATAAATAAATAAAATCATAGTTTAATCATATTTCGTGATTTCATTCAAACAAAAAATGGCTTTCAGGATAAATTTAATAAAGATGAACATACAGATAGATTTTTTATCAATTTAATACAGAAATAGCTCCCTCAAAGTCTGAACTCAGCCACAATTCACACATTTTACTGACAGACGTAGAGCTCTCAATCAAAAAGACCCAACCATATCATTAACAATCAGACATGACTGAATCTTGAACTCAATTAAAATTTGATGAACTGTCCAGCCCAAATTTCACAATTTCCTTGTGAAAGCTAAAGCATTATGTTGCTTGGTGAAAACACAGCAGTGAAGACAAAACATAAGATTTAAGAATATCAAATCAGTGCTGGGGAGGAGATGGGGCACGGCACAAACCAAAGCGGCCATGCATCTGCAATGGGGGATTCAAATTGAGCAGAATGGGCACTGGATGAAGAGGAGGTGAGGTGAGCAGTGGGGAGGAGTATTTGAAGTGAGGGACGAAGGCATAGAGCAGCTAAACTCTGGAGAAGCGGTGAGGTAGACAGGAGCGAAGTTAGGTCTTCCAAGCTGAATTTACGCTCCATTACAATTTAGTGCATTATTCATTCACATTACAGCAGCACTGGGGTAGAATGAGGGAAGCAAGGCAGCCACCACCATCACCCACCAATCACTCACATACTACATTCATAAAAATGTATGATATATAGTGGAGGGTAAGTGTCTTGCCCAAACTGTATGTAGTGATTAAAGATCAACTATTTCCTCATGGCTGATGCCAGTAAAGACATTTGAAAGAAAATGCAGATTGATTGGAATCCAGAGGAACTGATGGCAGATGACCTCTGCCAACATTTTTAGGCCAATATTTTTAGGCTGATTTTGGTAATTTTCCCCAAATGATCTAATTAAAATTCTGTTTGAACTCACCCACAACTTGTTTTACTATAAACAGTGTAGGTATGCATTTTATGCTTTATGCTTTTTTATGCATAGGACCAAACAAAAATTGCAAATATCAGCTCTATATATCAGCCAACCGATATATAGGTCTATTTCAGTAGTGATTTGACCTGGGATCAATCTGTCAATCATTGAGTTTGTTAACAAATGCTCACATCGAATTCAGCCAAGATGAGAGTTGCACTTAACTTTCACAAAGCATAAAATTTAAAATTAATAGCATGTACCATTAACTTGTTTTTATTGGGCATCTTGATATCAGCATTCATTTGTTGTCATATCAAAAGTATTAATGTTTAAGAATGAGATGACTTCAGGACATATTGTTTTTTTCAGCTTTGGTAGCAGGCTTCTGAAACAGCATGTGAGCCCAGCATTGTAAACAGCACTAATCATATTCACCACAGGGGCCCTAATAGATTCAGCTGCAGAAAGAGCAATACTAGTGATTTTTTTACACTAAATGAGCCTGAAGCATCTGTCAAACTCCACTTCTCAAATTGAATTAAGCCAAGAACAATAGTGTTTGAAGACAGCCCCTGACATTGGCGGTTGCTCACACAACGTTTTGAGTTGTGTTACCATGGTAGTTCAAAGCCAGCATGTCGCCTCTCGTGCATGTTTGTTCTCTCTTTCCGATGACAAAAGGTGCTCTGTGAAAATCCACACTCCTCCTCCCCAGTGAGTCTTTTGTGCCTCTGATAGTCCTTTGCACGCCTGCTTTGGTGCCACTTCTGCTGTGGTGTTTTTTTCCTGGCTCCTACATCACAGACACAAGTACTACTCCTCTCCTCCATTCCTTTCCATTATCTAGTGGGATTTTGCTGTTTTGTCCAACTTAAAATATTCATCTTTAATTGGTTTAGTAATCAGGCGGACGGGATTAAAAGCCAGAGAACGTTAGATAATTATTAAGCACCTTATTGTAGTCTGATTTTATGCAAGCTGAATTTTCCCCTATCATTGCTGTTAATTTGTTTACAAATTGCAATTCAGCAGGGGGTAGAGGAAGTGAAACCCAGGCTTCAAACAAGTGGACTTCACCCCCCCTTTTTAATAGACATTGAGAGGCCTGGAGTTTTGTAATACATTTTTCAACAGAGGCACTGTGACAAACTGGATCAGAGGGTTTAATTTCCACTTTTAGAAATACAAGGAAGTTATGCAGTTGCATAACTTTCAGTTTCTGTCTAATCTTCTAAATAAACATATTTCTCTCCCATATCCCAAAACTCAAATAAACAGCTCCCCAAATGTGTTGTTCAAAGTCAGAAAATTTAATATTTCTTCACCTGTTTTGAGTTTTTCCTCAAATTTTAATAATTCAGCTAGTTCTATGGGCATTCTACATTATATTGTATTGATAATCAAGTTAATTTAGACTATAAATCCATACATTCAGAAATGAATGCAGTGCTTTTCATTTACTTGTAGTTGGTTCAAGCAATCAGATTTAAGCGTGGTTCTTTGCTATGTGATTTTGAAGTAGTACTATGCAAACATTGTATAGTAATGTTCTACAGAGTAGAATGTAAATCTGTATTCTGTTGCTCCACTACCTTGTAATACAATTTTAACTGTGCTCAGAGAAGTCTGAACTACATGCCCAAACACAGGCTGTTACTGACAGAAGATTGGCTGTAGGCTGTAGATTAAAAAGACCCAAGCTGATCATTGACGATTACAAAGGACTACACCTCGATTAAAAAATGATTAATAGCAGAGTCCTAACCCACGGCTTTCAATAAACATAGACCAAACACTGCAGTTTATTAACAGAAAACACAGATCTAAGAAGAACAAAGATTTGTTCACATTTTATTTCAAGAAATTCCAAAGCTGTGACAGTGAAACAGGGCAAATGGTGCTAATAATACTGTGATAGTTTTAGTCTGACGCGTCAGACCTCATGAGCCATGTCACCTTCTGTCATTTATAACCGTTGTGAGAGTGGATGAGGAAATTCTCTTTGTGTTTCTAAACAAAGGATCAGCGGATTTGGTCCAACTCTCTTCAACAAAACAATGTAATGTGAACAGTCAGACTGCATGGGGCTGCCTCAGGCCACTTCACAGACACATGAATCTCTAATCAAAAACACACCAAACAATAACGGCCACTGCAGCAAATGGTAAACAACGCCAACCAAAAATGCAATTATGTTTTTGGAAACAACAGAATACTAAGCCCTCAGAACAGTCACATTCAAGTAACTCAAAGTCTAAAACCAGAGCTGTGTACATAGAAATGAGGAGAGAGATTATGCAAATTTTACTTGTACTTTAAAGGTGCACTACATAACTTTTCTGGTGGAAAAGCTCTCACCTGCTTTTCTCAGTGGAGATGTTATTGCTTTGCATAGCCTTGGCCTGTTTTGTGATATAGGCAGCCCTGCTCACAGTAAAAATGTATACTTTTTCTTTACAACACAAACACCTGATCTAATTCTCCTCACCGTCTGTTTTCAGTATCAGTGTTGTCAGTGCCTTTTCACTTGAGACATATGTAAAAAGTACATACTGTGTAATTCTGCTACTTCTTTCACTACATCTACCTTCACTCTTCCTAATGAGTTTCTCTCCTCCAGTAAAACCACTTCAAAAGCAAGAAATTAATCAACCTAATCAGAAACATGGTCCCACTCAGCTCTACATGTAAACATAGTGACTGTAGCAGCAGGCTGAGCACATGCAGAGATTTCATTTGGAGAAAATATTTGACGTGATTAAACGTAGCATGTCTCTCTTTTCACAGCAGGATGTAAACAACAGAACTATCTTAATTAGCTGTCAGACAAAATTGCTAATAGGAGGTCCACAAAATTATCTTTCAAATTACAGAAGTAAAAATAACAAATTTATCACCTTTCTGCCACATGTCTATAAATGTGATTTGAGAAAGAAGATTTTATTAAGAAATATTAAAAAGCGTCTCATTGACAGACGGTGGAACTTTTTAGCAATGAGGTGACAGAAGTTCACTCGCACTCGGAGAAGAAATCTTTAATTTGCCAGGTCCCCGAGAGGGCAAAGTGTCACATGGTAAAAGTATGATTAGTGCTATGGAGATGAAAATGACACTTATATAATGAATTGGATTACATCAAGGGCACAACGTTTTAAGAAGGAATAACAAGAATAGAATGTGTTGTATAAGGATTTTGAAAGCATTTGAAAGTGTATGGAGCAACGTGTTTCAGGTTAGATGTCCTCATTAGCTCCAAGTCAAAACAAAAATCAGTCAGAACAAAAATGAGGGAATGTATCACCAAAAAGTTCAAATTCAAAGTTTAGAGAGGAAACTAATCTTGTTTAAATGCTACATCTGTTGTTTGTTTGGGAGTGTTTTTATCAACCGAACCCCCATAGATGAGTGTGGACCATAGGGAAGAAATTTTCCCCTTCAGCAACACAACAGATACTTAGTGAACGAACCTGACAAAGTGGGAGTTATGATGTTTACTGAATACTGGTAATATCGTCAAGACCAGAGTGAGAGAGAAGAATAATTTTACTTATTTATAAAACTCATTATTTCTGGCCTATTCAAATAATTTCCTTCATCCTTAGAATCTCCTAATGATTACCACTATTCAGCTAAAACAGAAATAATTCATTTCTTAAACCTCAAGAGATTAAACAAATTTAATTACATTCTTCTAAAGCCAAATAATGTTAAAACCATAAATAATGGAAGTCACAGGGGAAATCATGTAAGCTAATGGATAAACATTACAACTTCCTTTGCTATTTTGGATGACTTATTCAAATGCTTTATGGGCTGCCAATACTACAGTGTAAAAAACATGTCCCTGAAGGTTTCCGTACCAATCCACAAAGGTTTATGGAGAGAAAAGCGCTGACAGTGGTTGGGGGAGGTCAGTGATTTGCATTGATTTGTCCAAAGAATTCATTTTGTGTTAAACAGGCTGTCAATGCTACTGTGGCTTGATAAACACATAACCCAAAACCCAGTCCCTACCAGTAATGTAGTTAAGAATATGAAGCTGCACTAGTAAAATTTACATCTGAAAGTTATGTTTAATGAATTGATACGTATTACATAATGATTCATTGGTAAAATAGTGAACAGAAACTCCTGGCTAAATAGTCTACTTAACGGACTCATATTAGTGTATATTCTGATCTATGTGATCTATGTTTTAATGTTGTTTCCTCATCACAAACATACCTGCAGTTGTATTTTGTTTCATTCACATACATTTATCACACAAACCCTGGATACTTATTTTTACATTCTTCTCTCAAACGGAAACCACTCTGTTCCACTGTGATGTCGTGTGGTAATACAGGATGTTCTCCACTGTGTTTTTAAACTCCATACCTTCACTAGGATCATTTGGATTTTCAGACTACCAATCTTTACAAAAGGTACAAAAAATCTTAACAAAAGGTAAAAGGTATCTGTTAACCTGAAAACTACCACTAAATGACATCACAAGGAGGAACTGAGCATTTTGAGCTTTGGAGATATAGACAGACTAATAATAAAAGGTTACTGAAACATAACAAAACTCTAGGTAAGTTTTTGAGGAGGTACATTCTAATATGACTTAAAGGTTGTATGGAGGATTTTTTTTTGTTTTTTTTTGTTTCAAGTTGTCAATGATAGCATTATAGAGGTGCAGTAGCCTTGTAATTATGATGACCAAAAAAAAGAGAATAAAAATTCATCAACTCTGGACGTGGTGGGGCCAGCTAAACATTTGCCAATAGATAACGACACTGCCTCGTTATCTGTTAGCTGACAGGCTATCAATCAAACTCCCTACGTTTCTAGCGTAACTGACTTGCCTGCGCGCCGCCGGTACGTGGTTTACGTACGCCTGCCACGCAGTCCACAGACGCAAGACGCACAGACGCTGTTTACTCCACCAACGCAACAGTTCTTGGCGGCTTTTTTTGACCTATATCTTCCTCGCAGTTAGCACAAAGTTTGTTGCAATGGCAGACAAGAATCCAGGAGCAGTTCGCCGCAAAAGAAAGTCCATTTTTGAGGTCGCTGAAAGAAGAAGACAAGGGGAAAAGCAGCGAAGCCAAACTAAGGTGATTCTTATAGATTCATTCCAGCGATGGCGCAACTGAAGCAGACGCAGGGTCTAAAGACTGACGCATTGGTCGCCAAATTACTCCTGGACAGGTAACTTCTGCTTATTATGAAAACGTACTTTATTTCCAAGAGCTAGTCAAACATTTTTCAGGACACGAAAGCGATATCCTATGTCTGAAAACGTAATTTTCAAGGCAAAGAAAGAGTCCGCTTGCTGCTGCGTGTTGTAGCTAGTTCATTCGCACGGAATCTCCGCGCAACCTTCTCTGCACCCCTTTCCTGCTCCTGTCCCCGCTGCCCGATCCGCTCTTCCCCCTGCTCCTCACTTCTCCGGGCACGGAATCTCCGCGCACCGCTCCCCTCTCCTCTCTCCTCTCCTCTCTCCCTGCTCCGCTCTTCTCCCTGCTCCTCACTTCTCGTCCGCGAACGAAATGTCCGCACACCCGCTCCCCCTGCTCCTCACTTCTCCGCCTTGCCTAACCAACACTGTAGTTAGTTGTTTACAAGTCATGTGCAGCACCGGCTGTAAACAAACCTGTTTCTGGCGTAAAGAGGAGGTGGGAGGAGGCGTTTCTACGTAGGGAGCTGTAGGGGAGGGGGGTGGTTTCACGCATGCGCAACATTTGAAAAAGGACAAACAGTCGCTGCATTTCTCGTTCCTTGGAAAATCCTCTATACAACCTTTAAAGCTCACACGAGTTTTGCATAATATAGGACTTTTAAATGAGCAAATAAAAGCATGGTGCTACCTATAGACCATTTGTATGCATCACTTCCTTAACATTTTTCACCCCTTCTCTCTATTTATATCAGCGCGGCCTCCATCCATCCGTTAAATCGATATCCACATAGCAGATTCTTCCCATCAAGATTACAGTATGAATATTCTTTGCACATTTATCATGGTGCAGAGATTTGGGCAAAAAGGCAACACACAAGCAAACGGCTATGGTGGGCTCTGAGCTGGATATAGGTTGTAATTTATGGTTAAGTGAGGTCCATAAAGCATTTCCTTATATCAGAATGTGACACAGGGATATTTATCAGAGGTGGGTGCATGCAAACACATACACACATACACACATACACACATACACACATGCACACACACCCTTCTCCACTCTGCTGAAAAGGCATTCTATTAAAACAAGTAAAAGGTGCAGAGCTAGTCAGATTCCCGACTATGAAGTCAGAGAGCAAATAAATTATGAAAATAGGTGGTGACACGTTTATACCCCCTAAAACACAAAATACACACTTTTAAACTAGTCCAAGGCCTTTTGGGAGTAATTTAGATGAACTGTGGATTTTAGGTTTAGAATATTTATGTTATTTATGTTTTTATTAGAGCTGCACCGATCCAGCTCTTTCAATTTCACTGTGTTTAAGTAGATACTTAGGCTTTACACAACCTATATTATGTAAAATTAACTTTTGTGAGGTTTAAGCCATGTTATAATGTTATTACCTCATCAAAAACATATCTGGAGTTGTGGTTCATTTCATTCACACGTGTCTGAGTAAACCTGGTTTATCAGTCTGTCTACATTTCCACAGCTCAAAATGCTCTGTTCCACCTTATCCTGTCATGAAGCAGTAGTTTTGAAGTTAATAGCTACATTTTGTTCAGTACAGAATGAAAATTCCAGGGCTGAAATGATCCAAATCATTCTAGTGAAGGTCTATGGTGTTTAAAAACACAGAGGAGTACTTCATCATAAGGAGTGTTTTCATTCTGAGAGAACTTAGCCTAAATATGCACGGTTTGCGTATTAAAGGTGTAAAAGAAACAAAACACAACTCTAGGTGCGTTTTTGATGAGGAAACATTATAACATCAGAAAATAGGGTACCATGATACGGGCCTTTTAAACCAGTGTTTCCAAAACTTTTTTTCTGGGGACCCATATTTTAAATGTCACAAATCTTTGTGACCCAGGTCAGTAGACATTATTCGTAAATCACAAAATAAAATACATTTGTGACCATTATTGAACATTAATGAGGATATTTTATTGTTGACTGAATGATCGTGTCTCTCTGAACAATTAGTATTACACAAGTTTTAAACAATAAAAAACAGTAATCAGGAAAATCAGGGAAACCCACAGAAACCTGCTTTGGTAAGGTGGTGCTTCCAAAGAAGTGAGGAGAGGGGGTGCGTGGAGATGTATGCATATGTATATTGCAGACCTACATGCAGATCGTGACAAAATCTCCCTTGCGAATGCTTTAAACATACCTTTTGATAACTTAAATTAACTTTTATAATACCAATTCAAAGACAAGGAGATGACAAAACTGATACAAAAGTTTTATGCAACTGATTTGTCCTGCAAGTTTCTACAGACAAAAACAGCTCCCACTCAGGGCAGGAATTAAATGGTGTGAGAGTGCAGAAATGAGAAAATGGTGAGAAAATTGTTTGTGCTTTTGGAGAGTTAGAACAATAAGGCAAGTGAAGAAGTTTAAGTATATTATTTAAGTATATGTTCAGGTGAACCAAGAAGATTTAGGCAAAGAGATGTGAAAGTTTTGCACCACTTCAAGATACTAGAAAATGACCAGGAGACAAAGGCATCAAAACACATAGAATCATTATAAATAAAAATATATATATATATATATATATATATATATATATATATATATATATATGGTAAAAATGAAATGTGATGGTGTGCATAATGTGTGTTTGATCCTGGCTTTATCATGTTTCCCTGGTTACGCATAAGCATTTTATTTAAGGCTGTAATACTGTAGGGAGGTTGTAAGACTAGAGACTCAAGAGAAAGAAGTAAGAATGGACCAGCACAATGCAAAGAACATAAAAATGGCTGCCTATGTTGTAATGTTTGTGTGTGTGTATATGTGTGTGTGTGTGTGTGTGTGTGTGTGTGTCTAGCACATATACCCGCTATCGGTAAATAGGAACTCGAGGTGAGTCATGTAGACCTCCCACAGAGGAACACTGTAACGCCTCGCCAGGGACAGCGCAATTTTGTACACGCCATCATCCAGGGTCCTGAAATACACAAGAGCAGAGAGAAACATAATGATCAGGTTGTATTTCATAAAGCAGGCAGCACACTCCCACACCTTCAACTATAAAATCCTCCATACACTATAATATGGGTCTACTGTTAATAATAATGCATTGCTTCATGTGGTACCTCACTGGTTTTGTTATTATGGGTTTTGTTTATATTTAAAGCAATGCTGTCAAACTTTCTGGAGGTGGCCATCACCTGCATGTCCATAAAAATAAAAAGTTAAAACCATACTTTGGGACATTCTTCATGGAGATAGATAAGTTGTATGCCATACTCTGGAATATTATAACCAAAGGAATAATATTTCCATGGAGACAAGCAGGAAGTATGGCCAAGTATGAGCCAGGTTTGTGGAGATGCAAATTGGCTCACAGTAAGGATGTATGTTTTTCCATATTTATAAGTAAAATGAAAACATACTTATATTTTAGAAAGAACAAAAATGTGGCTGTTTACTGGTGGTGTTCTGATCAGTGGGAGCAGGTAGAGGGTGCTCTAGGAAAAAGGATCAAAACTTAAAAAACACCGGACTCCAGGCACTCCAAAGAAGTAAAAATTCATCAGGGCTTAGTTGAATTACTACTCAACTAAACCCTGATGAAGACCAGTGGTAACATGTTGGCTTTGGCCATTTAAATAAAGGCCTTTTAACTATATTTTTCCTTGTGTGGGTTTTACTTCTGTGGTGTGCCTGGAGTCCTTTGTGTTTTATACTTATATTTTAGTCTGATTTAAAAGTAATGCAGTAAACCTTTTATATGTTATGACTGTCATAGTCTGTAGTAAAAGTCATACTCGGTTAGTCCAAGGATGGTTTCTTTCTTGTAGTCTGCATCGGAGCTGAATCGTGGCACATCGACTCCGCGCCCGAGCCCCTGTAGGACCTGGGCCTGGGTGAAGTCCATCAGACGCTCATTGTACATCTGCAGCTGTTCTATCAGCTTCTGCAACTCCTGTGGCCAGCCTGAGTATGAGGAGACGTGCCGTGTGACCAATCGGATCATCTCCTTAGGGTCGGCCTGTGAAGAGAGAGAAACCGTGGTTACTAAACATGTTAAAGCGTGGAGTATTACACGGATCACACCAGAGCTAGTGTCAAAAAAGCTGCAATGGACAAAAAAATAAAATAAGCAAATCTTTAAAAATGCATCTAATTATGATGTCAATCGAGACATAGATTTAAATTATGCTTAACAAAATTTTTAAAGCATTAAAGGTGCACTATGTAACTTTTTACACAATGCACTTTTAAATTAGCTTCATGTATTCACTCCACACAATCTAAAACTTATCTGCAAAAAAATATAGATATTAACATAGCCAAGGAAAGTGATATATCTTGCGTAAGAGCACCTCAACAGTATGAACTGGTCAGACCTGGATTCAAACCACTAATCTTCCATTAACAGGACCTCTCTGCTACATAAACCACAGTCCTCACAAGCTGTGCTTAAAGTAAGATGAAAATGCTATGGCCTATTACCGTGCTATTGAGATCCGAAAAGGCTGTGTGTTTCAACTAAGAACAGAAACCAATTTGCTATTTGACCCGATGACTGATGATTGACTTGATGAAAGCATATTGAACTTTACATTGTTTCCATAGTGACACTATAACAATGCCATTTACAAAAGTGGCAACAATTTTCTATAATAAAAGGAACCTCGCCAGCCCAGATTCAGCCTCATGAAAAGAGCTTACACAGTGCCAAGAAAATGTAGGTAACAACAGCAGTTTGGCCTTTGGGGAGTAAGAGAGTGGGGTACGTCATTGGTTGAGGAGTAAAGACAGCCCCCCTCTCATCGCATCTGCCCAATTAAATGCACCCCTAAATGTGTATAATTTTGTATCTTGAATGTGTAGGCCCAGCGGGATCTTATGCTTTATTTGTAGTTCTTATTTGCATATGATAATTATAGCTGCCGGAAAGAGTGAACCAGTATGTGAGTCACTGAATATATTGCTCCCAACATGCTTTGTGTTTCGAGATGTGGCCAGATGTAGATTCAAAACAGGGCAACAAGGTAGAGTGGAAAATTGTGAGAATTACAAGAAACTATACAAACATGACATGACCCCCAGATATGATGGGCAAGTTCTGTATGAGATAATTTGGTGTTTTGGTTATCAAGACAATTATCCAGAAAGCAGAATGATGCTCACATGAGTCTCTAATTGAGTTGCTGCATTGAATGATCTGAATACTCATTAAACCGTCCCAGCACCTATCAATAATCAATACTAGTGCTGCCTCTGCGGCTCAAAGACTGAATTCAGGAGGTTCGGAGCTTTCACATGAGGCCTATCCATATACTGAGAATAAGAGAAAACATGGTCTGTGTCCTCTATATGCAGGTTAAGCCAAAGTTTTTCAAGCAAGCTTCATTGTCCTTTTAATCTATTAATATTTCAAGGTCAAGTTTTATTGGTTTATGTACATCACAACTTAGCTGCTTAGTTGTACTTGGTGTGAAAGGTTTGTGAGCCTGCTAACGTTATGAAGTTTCTCCTTTTATTTTTTTAATTATTGTGTTAATTGTAAGACATGTCGTGTCATTAGAAGAAAGAGGAGCAGCTCTGCAAACGGGGACTGAGCTTCAGGTTTTGTCACATGACAGAACCACACAAAGTAGCAGTGCAAAGCCAGAAGAAGAAAGTGTGCCTGAACGCTGATGGACAGGCCCATGTTTGAAGAACTTTATTGAAATAAGGCTTTTATGATGAAATGCTGTTTGCACACTCACGCTGTCATTCATCTCCAGTACTTTGTCCTTTTGACAATTTGAATTATACCAATGTCATTTTTCAAACTTTTATCCCGTAATTCTGTCTCTGGATTACTTAAGGATATTTTAAAAACTCATTTTAATTAACTTGCCAGTCCCGATTGTCTACAAACTGAAATCCCTTTTTTTTTTACAAGTAAGAAACATCTCATATGAAAACTTCTCTGTACTATTCTCAAAGTGACTACAACAAGCCCATTAGCGCTACTTAATCAAATACAACTAGACAAATCTGTTAGGAAAGTTAATTTCTGATGTACACAGAGTTGGAAGACAGCCAGTTCTTTTCAATCCTGCTAAAACTATTTCAGCACAGTCAGACAGTTTACCCCAGCATGCAGTTTATGAGGCAGTATTGTACAAATAAACCCCTTTCAACCCCATGCGCACTTTCATTTTCACTCAAAATTTCGATGCCATTATATTTGAGTAGCAAGTCTGAGCTTATAAAATGCTTTTGGCTGCTCCCCAAGCTGCATGGTTCAATACAATGTAATAACTCTTGGAGCTAGCCCATTTACTATTGTGATTAGCCCGAGTCTGGTTTAATCTGTTTTTCTGTGAAATTAACAGAAATCAACTCTATGTGCTGCAGTGCACAAACTGCACGAGTTCAAAAAATTGGGAAAATTCTAATCTACACAAATTAATACATTAATTATCTGTAACACTGCAACGTGTTTTGGTGCCAGTGAATGGGAGTTGTGTCCTTCTCTGACCTAGTGCATATTATTGTTGTGTCCTTTAGCAAGACCCTTCTACTGCCATATTGTATATACACCGGGTACTTTGGAAATAGTGTGTTGGTTGAGAAAGTATAATAGTTTATTAAAATTTAAGATATTGACACAATATTTGGGTGGCCATCATATTTGACTTTATGAAAGTGATAATGAAATATTAAAAAATAAAATAAAAAAACACAAGATTTCTCTTCTGGGAGTGGTGCATTTTTATTGGCTAAAATTTAGCTTATTAACAAGTGCTAAATAAGTAAATAAACCGATTGTACATTGTACCTACTACTACACGTGTGTGTGGATAGAAGTAGAAATCAATTTAAAATGTCAAAGTCAGTTATGGTTAAAAGTCAGTAGTGCCCAACAATAACTTGCAGCCAGGTCAGCTTGCAGCCAGGTCAGCTAAAGAGGATTATGCAACATACTTGTATCAAATAGTGATAAGCTCAAATAAAAAGTACACCATTGACTATATAATTACTAAAAATGACACAATTTAACAGTACTGTCTGGGTTAACTGATAAACTAACAAGTTTTTAGTCTTATTGCGTTACTGGTATAGGTTATAGGTTGCAGTTAAGACGACCTCACTCCAGTGTACATCAGTAATGATACTCAATACTCATATTAGACATACAGTCAACAGCTTCATTAGGGACTATTCTGCAAAGGGCACAGTATTCCCATATAATTAGACAGGAATATGGAGAGGAAAAGCGACCAGTAATTTTAATGGAATAATCAGTTATGAACACCACGGGTTGCACTGTGGCTAGCTTAGTTAAGAGATGTGATGACAAGCAAAATTGCAGCCAACTGTTCAGCTCATCAAAGACTTCACAACGGAAAAACCAAATGGACCAACCTGAGTGTGGCAGTGCAATTGGAGTGCATATTTGTCTAATAGGGGCCCCCTTTTCTACCACTACAGCTCCCAGGGGTAAAATATAGACCGCTAATGATTGCGGTACAAGGGCGCAATTTGTACAGCGTGGAAAGTGAAGTCGGAGGGGACGTAAGAGCAGTTTTGTCCTGAGATGGGGAAGTCAGTTTAACTCATTATTCCAGTCAATTCAACAACGTGAAGTAAAGTGTATACAAGGTCAGTGAACGCAGCTCGAGTTATGGACTGAAAAACACAGTGAGGGTCGAGGACATGTCAATAAATGTCGCCGTCTTCAAACCACTTCAGTGGTCTTTAGCTTCCTCGGCTGGCTGACAGCTTGACAATGGAACAACATCTATCTTCTCTGCTGGATGTGAAAATCAGTTGAATACTTGGATCTCCATACTTTCAGTTGGCAGTAGGAGTTGAAAGGCATGCATAATTGAAAATATTTTACCTTCTGTTGGCAATAAAAAATAATGAAAAATGAATAAAAGCCTCAAATGTTTTTTTCAATTATGTTGTCTCTTTTCAGCCTTTAGACTCAAGACATGCCAAAAGATTAAAATGTACACAAGGTTAAAGGTGCACTATGTAACTCTTCTACTTGCTTCTCTCCATGCTTTACCTGGAATGTTCCACAGTTTGGCAATGAACATCTATCTCCATGGAGACAACCAAGTGACGGCACCAGCTGTGCAAACTTGCTCACAGTAAGAATGCATGTTTATGAATGAGCAGTGAAAAAATTTGTAATCTAATAAATGCAAGATAGTTGGTGCCATACTGGGTAAAATTCTAGGTAAATCAATATCATCTCCATGGAAACAAACAGGTGGTGGAACATAATACATCTTTAACACAAATAAAAAACAGTTTCATTTTACCGTTTGTGAATAGACAAAATATTTATCTCTGAACAAGATCCCCAATCTTGGTTGGCTATGAATACTTTAAGGCAAGGTAATGAAAATGTATTTATAGAGCACAATTCATGCGGAACCCAAAGTCCTTAACAGTAGAGAGTGTAATATTTCAGTTTGATTGATACTGTGGTAAAAATAAGCTTTCAATATCTGGATTTATAATGGCGTATTCTACAGTATTTTATGTAGTGTTGGTTTATAGAGCTACAAAATCATATCCTTAAGCCATATTTCTGAACAAAATACTACGCCCATGCAATTGCAGATTTGTGAAGTGTATGTGTGTGTATACAAGGCATGTGTAAAATCAATAGGCAGAGAAAACTGCAGAAGATAAATGAATGAAAATCTCCATCTTTGCTCTGAGCTCCCCCAGTGGCTTCTCATTCAAACTCAATTATCCAAAAGGCACACAAAATCAAGGCAAAAAGTCGCACGTTACAACTGTGACAAGTCCAGGTAAACAGACAGCGGTATAAATACAGGCTTTTTGTGATATTATGTAAACACAGCCAAAGCAACAATTACCACAAAGAGTGCCTCCATTTGAGCCGAGGTAATGAAAGCTTCTCTCCAGAGCGGGAGAGAGGAAGAGGCTCATTATGCCCAGAGGAGTAAGAGTCAGTGTCTGTGTCATGGATCCCAGTACAGTTTCGTCACGCTTCTAATCGGACGACTA